CTCAAAGCCAAGGAAACTTCTGTGTCTTCTCCTTCCATCCACAGGATGCATTGGGTGTTGGTGAGCCCTCATCCCTGAGGGGAGTTCCCATCGGATTCCCGCCCGTGGCAGGTGCTTCCTCCTTCACCACCACCAATCTCCAGGTTTTCAGGCACCTCCACAGCCTCAGCTCGCCCCACATCCACAGCTTTGGGTGGGCGATTTCCCAACCCCTGCCCTTCAAACCACATCCTCACTCAGGCCTGGCCTGGGGGACTCACTCCCTGCTCCTGCTGACCTCCAGGGACCACCTCCACCTTGCCGCTCACCCTGCAGACCTTCCTCTGCCTCTTCAGCCCCACTGCCTACGAAGCCAACGCCTCCTGTGATGACATGATGTGATTTACAGAATAAATTGGATCCCAATCGTGGTCATGAGGTGCCCCCATGAGCAGCTGACAAAGAGCTGTTCCCTGGCCTGGCCTGCTCCAAATCCAGCTGGAGGGCTCAGGAACCTTGGGAATGGATGGAGAAGGGGACTTCCCAACAGTCCACGAGCAGATCCAGGAGCCAGGGACAAGCAAGCCTCAAGTTCTTGCTCTGACAACAAAACCTCCGTGATTTTGGGCAAGCAGCACAAAGCACGACCCCGGTTCCACCGCGACAACGGGGCAGAAGCATCTTCCTCCAGAGCAAGCGGGAACCTCCAGCGCTCCTGGAAGCCCAAGGGAAACCCCTCCATGGAGGAAGATGAGGAGAGCAGACTCCCTGAGGAAGGGAGAGGGCAGGGAAGGAGAGGGGAGCTAATTCCACCCCAAGGAAGCCAAGCTGGAAGCTGGAAGCAATCGGCACGGCAGCGAGGAGAAGCAGAGACAGGAGGAGCGACTCGGGGGCGCGGAGGGGCCACGGCCCCATGCCCTGCCCAGCCCACACTCACCGCAGGGGCACTGTAACTGGCGTGGGGGTTGTTCTGGATTTCCCACAAGCCCTCGTTGAAGCCTTTTCTCTTGTTTGGTTTCCCATATTTGTCTTTATATTTTTCGTAAGGGAACAGATCTTTAGGGCCCAAGAAGGCGCTGGAGAGAGACAAAGCAGAGGTGAGGCCGGAGCGGAGGCAGAGCCCGGCGGGGGGAGCGAGGCAGCGCTTACGTCTCGTGGGTGCCGAAGAAGAAGATGGGGTACTTGTTCGGGGGGGGTTTCACGGCGCCGTCCGCGATGTCATCGATCTGAAAGGAAACCCAAAGCACGAGGAGGTCAGAGACAGCGGTGACACGTCCTCAGCCCCGGCAAGCGGCGTCGGGTCCGGCACCCGCTTGGAGCCAAGCGCGGCAGGAAAGCACCCGGACGGGGCCCTGGCTACGGATCTGAGTCCCCGCGGGATCTCTACCAGAGTAACGGGAAGGATCCGGCACCGAGGTCTTGTGGGCAACGTGGGCCTTGCGCTACTCCCCCGGGATCCGTGGCCGGGAGCCCGGCGGCGCGGGCGGGGGGCGATGGATGAGCGGCCGCAGGGTCCGTCCTGGCTGGAGCCCGGCCGCAGGAAAAGCCCCGCTGCCGGCCGGACACCCCGTCTTCTGTGCTCGGGGAGCCTCAGGGTGCGCAGGGGGTGCTGGGGAGGTCTTCGGGGTGGGGGGACCCTTCCCCAAAAAGCAAGCGAGCTAAAGCAGAGGGGCTGTCCTGGCAGGAGCGGCAGTCCCGGGTCTCACGGCGAGGTGCAGCCAAGCGGTGTCAACTCCGGCCCCCTGAGCTCCCCGATCCCACAGGCTTCCACCTGCCAGTCTCTTCCCGTCCAAGGGCACTGGATGAGCCTGCCATGCCCTCGGCTGCTCCCGGGGACCCCGCGGAGCCCCCAGGCACCCCCCAGCTGAGCACATCCCAAAGCAGCTCCCGCTCTCCTCCAGGAGCTCCGCGGCACGACGCTGTCACCCGGCCGGTGGCACCAGCTGTCCCCCTCCCCAAGCACTCCAGCACCCCAAATAACGGCCCCAAAGCACAGCAGCACCTGCTGATCCCACACCGTGAGTGCGGACAGCAGCCCCCCACCCATGGCACACCCAGAGCGTCCCCTCAGTGTCCCCAACAAGGGGCAGAACCGCAGGCCCCAGAGCGCAGGATCCCATCCCAGCGCAGGATCCCATCCCAGTGCAGGATCCCATCCCACTGCAGGATCCCATCCCACTGCAGGATCCCACCTCGGTACCGAGCTCCCGTACCCTCAGGGGATCTCTGAGGCAGTGCTGGACCCCCATCCCAGCACAGCTGCTGTGGGGTCCCCCATTCCGGCACAGGACACCCCATTCCAGTTCTGGCCCCCATCCCAGTAGAGGTGCTGGAATGGGATCTCCCGTCCCAGAACGGGTCACCCCGCGCTGCTGCTGGGCCCCAGCCCAGGACACTCCAGGGATGTGACCCCGCATCCCGCTCCGGGTGCCGGGACAGCCCCTCCTGCCAGCACCGGATCCGCGACAGACCCGCCAGGGTCCCGCATCCCCACCGGGACACCTATCCCGGTACCGGTACCGGTACAGCCTGTCCATCCCGGCACGGCTCCCGTTACGGCATCTCCATCCCGGGACGTGCTCCTGCGCCGGCACCGTGTCCCCATCCCGGTACAGGTACCGTTATGGCATCTCCATCCCGCCAAGGGCCTCCGCTCCGGGGACAGGGGTCGGTACGCGTCCCCATCCCGTCCCCGGTCCCCGCTCCCGATCCCGCCCCCATCCCGGTGCGGGACCCCCGCCCCTCTCCCGCTCCGTTCCCCCGCGGCGCGGCCCCGCCGTCTCACCCGGGCCGGCCAGTGCGGGTAGCCCTTCATCTTGGCGAAGACGAGGTCCCCGGGTTTGAAGCTGTGTGGCATGGCGGCACCGGGGGGCGCGGGGGGCACCGGGCGCGGGCAGGCCCAGCCCAGGCCGCGGCAGCACCGGGCAGGCGGCGGGGGCGGCCCGCACCGCACGGCACGCAGGATGTCCCGCCCCCGGTCGCGACCGCGCCTCCCATTGGCTCCGCCGCACGTCGTTCAACCAACTCGGCCAATAGAAGCGAGGCGGCGGCGCGGCGGGATAACGGGATTGGGCCGCGCCGCCGGAGGCGCCGAAGCGGGGGGCGCTGGGGGGCGAGGCCTGAGGGGCCGGGGGGGGAACGGGGACAGGGACAGAGACCTGAGGGGGGACAGGGACGGGGACAGGGACAGGGACAGGGACAGAGACCTGAGGGGGTCAGGGACAGGGACGGGGACAGAGACCTGAGGGGGTCAGGGACAGGGACGGGGACAGGGACGGGACCTGAGGGGAGGAGAGGACCGTGTGAGAGTGACAGGGCTGTGGGGAGAGGGTCAGGGCTATGGTGACACAAATCCTGCCCCATCACTGCCCCCAGCTCAGCCCCCCAGCCCGGGGATGCGGCTCCCGGCTGAATTCCTGAATTCCCCGGGGCCATCCCGGGACCCCAAACTCCTCCTGGGCTGGGGAGGGCGGTGGGTGCTCATGTCCGTGTCCCAGGACAGGGCACCGGGAGGGTCACTGGGGAATCCGAGCCACGGGCTCCGAGCTTGGGCTGAGCCGGGCTGAGCTGGGCCGGGACCCGGCTCTGACCCAAACTGTGTCTCTGCAAGGTCATGGAAAGGGAAGCGGTCCCTGCCCGCACCGGGCCGGGCGGGAGCAAAACCCAAACCTCAACCCATGGTCTGGGGAGAAATTATTGCCAGGGCTTTGTGGGGAGGTGTGTGAGGAGGGGAAATCCCGCTGCAGGGAATTCGTGTCGGGGTGCACGGGGGTGTTGTGTCCCTGTCACACTGTGAGTGTGACACACTCCTGCCAGGCTGTGCCACGTCCCTGCTGTGCCAAATCCTGGCCTTGTCATATCCCAGCCATGCTTCATCCTGACCGTGCCATATCCACTCTGTGCCATATCCACTCTGTGCCATATCCACTCTGTGCCATATCCACTCTGTGCCATGCTCTGGCTTTGCCATATCCCAGCTGTGCCATGCTCTGGCTTTGCCATATCCCAGCTGTGCCATGCTCTGGCTTTGCCATATCCCAAGCTTTGTCGTATCCCAGCTGTGCAGTATTTCAGGCTGTGCCACATCCTGGCCGCGCCGTATCCCAGCTCTGCCACATCCCAGCAGCTCCAGGGCTCTGTACATTGTCCTCAGCCTGTCCTGTGCCAGGGCGCTGGAGGGCACGGTGTCTCAGTCCATGATTCCCGCTGGCGATGCCGCTGTGTGTCCAGCCTTGCTCCAGGCGCTCCCGGCTCTCGGTGCCACCGGGTGCCACCGGAGGGGCAGCGCCAGGTGCGGCTGCACAGGTGAAGGCGCAGCCCCCGCTCGGGGTGGGCTCCGCCTGCTCCCGAGAGTCGCAGCCCCTTCCCCGCGTGTCCCCTGGGGACGGGGAGCAGGAGCTGTGCCGGGGGAATAAAGGCCGTGACCCCGCAGCACCCGCGGGGGCTGCGCTCGCTGTGTCCATCCCGCGGTTCGGAGCGCTCGGCCGGTGTCCCGGGGATGGCTCGGACACCACGCTCCTTGTCCAGCCCCGGCTGTGTCCCATCTCCACGCCAGGTTCGCTCCGGAGCTGCCCAGGGCTCCTTTCAGCCCGCTTGGCTCACAACGGGGCTGCCCCCGGGGCACCGGGAGCCGAGGCTGCTCCGAGCGGGCTGCGGGTGCAGGTTTGGGGTGCTCTGGGCTCCGTGAGGCTCCGGGGGTGCCGCCGGGGGTCCGTGGATGCAACCTGGGCTCTGTGGCGGTCCGTGAGTGCCGGTCTGGGGTCCGTGAGTGCCGGTCTGGGGTCCGTGAGTGCCGGTCTGGGGTCCGTGAGTGCCGGTTTGGGGTCCGTGAGTGCCGGTCAGGGGTCCGTGAGTGCCGGTCTGGGGTCCGCGGTGCCGCCAGCCCCCGGTGGTCCCGGTGCCGGTGTTCCTCGCCCCCATCCCCGCCGCCCGAGCGGGGCCGGTCCCGCCCCGTTCCGGTGACGGCGCGGGCGGGCCGGAAGCGCGGGGGGGGCGCGGCGGCCCCGCTCCCATCCCGGTGCTCCCGTCCCGGTGCTCCCGTCCCGGCGCTCCCGTCCCGGCGCTCCCGTCCAGGCCCGCTCCCGGCCCGGCACCGCCATGCGCAAGTTCTTCCAGGAGATCAAGGCCGACCTGAAGTTCAAGACGGCGGGGCCCGGGCAGAAGCTCTCGGAGCCGTCCCGGTACGGGCTGGGGGGACTCTCCGGTAACGCCACCGCCGGTAACGCCAGCCCCGGGCGGCACCTCCCGGGGCACCGCGGGGGACACGGGGGTGTCACCGGCGGCTGGGCAGCACGAGCGGAGCCCGAGCCCGTGTCGTCCGCCGCAGGGCCCCCAAGGAGAAGCCGAAAGCCGAGGTGGCCCCGAAGCCCCGGCAGGCCCCGACCGATGAGGCGCAGAGGGCGGCGGCCGCGGCGCTGGCCCGGCTGGAGCTGAAGCCCAAGGCAAAGGCACCGTCCGGCTCGCAGGAGGCCATCAGGAGCCAGGGTAGGAGCGGGACGGGGCAGCCGTGGCCACCGGAGCCCGGGGACAGCGGGCCCGGCTGGAAAAGCGCCCGGCTGCGGCTCTCGAGGCTGTTTTGGGGCAGCTGTCGTGGAAATGGGGTCATGGGCAGCCCTGGGCTGGGACACCACACCCGGGCAGGTGTTTGCTTCCCAGGGCAGCGATGAGCTGTCCAAAAGCCTCTGGAATGCGCTGAGCCTCCACTCCAAGCGGGGTTTGTGTGTTGTAGTGAGGAAGGAGCTGATGGCCGAGGCAGCTGCCAGCGAGAAGGAGCTCTCGGCGGAGGAGAAGGTGAGGGAGATGCTGCCGCTCCCTGCTCAGCGCCCCTCGGGGCTGCTCTCCCTGTCCTGAGGGGATCTGCCAGGGTGTTTATAAACATAACCCTCCCAAAACCTCCCTGTGCTCAGTTTGGTGCCTGCTTTTATCTCCTCCAGGAGCAGGAGGAGGAAGGGGCAGCTGCTCCCTCTGTATCGGGGGTTTATTTCATCTGCCCCTTGAGCGGTGCAATTGTGAGGAAAGACCAGAAGGAAAAGCAGCTCCGAGAAGCCATCCAGGCAGTGAGTGCTTCCCTTCAGACTCCTTCCCTTCCCTCTTCAAACTCCTTTTGTGCCATGGGTCCAGCAGTGACCTCGCCAACCCTCCACCTCCTTCCTGCAAAATCTCCGCCAGGACAAATTCACGTTGCCTGTTAAATCATCTCCAGCCCAGCAAATGGGGAACAACTGAGCTGAGCTGGGGTCAGCTCCTCCCTGAGCTTCTCTCCCTCTCCCCCAGTATTTCTCTGTGGACCCGGTGGCTGCTTCCATCATGGAGATCCACACCTTCAACAGGGACCGGGAGAAGGTGCGGCTGTGCGTGGAGACCATGGCCAAGTGAGTGTGACTGCTCATCCCTTCCCTGGTGGATTTTCTTGCTCTGCTTCTGCCAAAGTCTTTTTTTTTTTTTTGGAAGAAAACCGAACTCTTGAACCACCCAATTTGTCAGTTGACCCCATGTTGGCGTCCTGGAGGATGTTGATCCCATTTGTTGAGGTTTGGGAGCTGCTGGGTGTTTGGTTTGACCCCAAAGCATGGATGTATTTTATTTACCCGGGTTTCTCATCTCTTTTACTCTGTGAGAAATACTGTGAGGTGTCTGTTTTCTCTCTGACCTTGGAGTGTCCTGCTTCGACCCAGGCAGTGCGTTCCTCTTCCTGCAGGTACCTGGATAACATCTATCTCCATCCAGAGGAGGAGAAATACCGGAAAATCAAACTGCAGAACAAGGTGTTCCAGGTGAGCTCAGACTCCTGCAGCTGCCCAGCCTTGGAAAGCCCTTGCTTGGAGCAAACTCCATCTAAATTCTGTCCTTTTCTTCCAGGAAAGGATAAGCTGCTTGGAAGGGACGCACAAATTTTTCCAGGCTGTCGGGTTTGAGACAAAAACACTGCCTGTTCCAGGACAAGGCAAGAGCTGCTGGTGGTGATGTGGAGTCAGGGCTTTGGGGGGTGCTGGGATGCTGGGGAGCAGCTCTGGTTGCTGACAGCTCCACAGAGCTCGTTACTCCAAGGCTGGAACAAAACCAGGAGCACATTCCTTGTCCAGACGTGACCCTTTCCCAGAGATGCTCGTCCCTGTGTCACTGCCCTGCAGACCGAGAGCCTCACGGCCCATCCTTGTGGTTGCAGAGGCCACGGAGGAGTTCTACGTGCTGAAGGAGGAGGTTCTGAGCAGGCTGGAGGAGCTGAAGGACCGCAAGGAGCAGCTGCTGAGCTCGGAGCCCGTGCGGGCGCAGCTGCACCGGCAGCTCACGGTGTTCCAGCCGTCGGCCGCGGCCGCGCGCTTCGAGCTGCCCCACGACTTCTTCAACCTCAGCGCGGAGGAGCTCCGGAGGGAGCAGCGGCTCCGGTGAGCAGCGGGGCCAGGGGACACCGGCCAGGAGCTCGTGGCTGTCCCGGGGCCTACAGGGGTGTCTCCCCTTAGGACGGAGGCGGTGGAGAAGGCGGCGATGCTGAGGACCAGGGCCATGCGCGAGAAGGAGGAGCAGAGGGAGATGAGGAAGTACAACTACACCCTGCTCCGGGTGCGCTTTCCCGATGGATACATCCTCCAAGGTAAAACACACTCCTCACCTTTCCTTGGGGCACCTCCAGAAGCTCCCGGGGGTAGGTGTGGTGTAAGGAACTGGGTGACAGGAGGTGCTGGGTTCAGCTGGTGGAATAAATCACACCAAACCACGGTGGGGTAACGTTTCTCCGTGAACTCTTCCCGTCTCCAAACCCTCCCCCTGCTCAGGGCTGGGATTTTAAGCCAGGATTGGACAGAGAGGGAAGAGTCTCAAGGCATCATTAATTAAAGTCTGCTCTTCCCAGGCCTCTGGAAACAAGCTGGACTCATTAGATCAGTGTGTGACAGCAGCCAGCGTGAGGCTGCCCGTGTGATGTCAGACTGTACAACAGCATAAATCCTCTTCAAATTTTCCAGTGGAACTCTGGAAATCATTTCAGGCTTTCCCAGCTCTTTGTTACAGGCTGGCAGGGGCTCCCAACAATTGACTATTTTTCTTTGGGGATTCTGCTTTTATAGTTTTCTGTTAAATTAGGCTGGCTGTGTGTCAGGGAAGTCGTTGATCAAGTCAGCATCAGTAGGTGAAGCCCCATGGAACCGACCACAAAAGGTTAGATTTTGGTAAATGCCAGACTCTCTCACCTTGTTTTCTCATGGCAGGGACTTTTTATGCCCGAGAATCAGTATCTGTGCTCTACGACTTTGTGAGAGAAGCGCTCAGAGATGACTGGCTGCCCTTTGAGCTCCTGGGACCCGGAGGTCTCAAACTGACTGACGAGAGCTTGGCCTTCAATGAATGTGGCTTGGTGAGTGAAAAAAATCCCAGAGCATCTTGAGGCTGTCAGAGACTTCTACTGCTCAGAGCTGGGGGAGGAGTTTGTGTCCTTTCAGAGCCACAAGTTGTGCTCTGGCCCCTCGTTTTAAGCACAGTCACTGCCTGGGGGCCTCGAGGTGTGGAGGGGAGCGCAGGGCTCTCCCTCCTGGAGCAGAGCAGCTGTCAGGGGCTGGGGAGGAGGGAAGGCAGCGATGGGGAGGGAGGGTACCAACAGAAAGCCCCAGTTGGCATCCCCTGAAGGAGCTGCTTGCAGAATCCAGCCTTGTCCCTTGCAGCTGGAGCAGCTGCAGCTCTGTGAACGCACACAGGCCGAGGGGAACAGAGCAGCCGTGGCTGCCCCAGCCCTGGCACTGCCCAAGGCCAGGATGCAGCAACCTGGGACGGCGGGAGGCGTCCCTGCCCCGGGCAGGGGTGGGACTGGACGGGTTTAGGATTCCTGGCTGTGGTCAGTAACCTGCCTGTCCTGCCAGGTGCCCTCGGCCCTGCTGAGCCTGGCCTGGGACGCCGCGGTCATGGCTGACGTGGAGGCGGCGGCGGAGGAGCAGCGCAGCCCCCTCAGGCCCGAGCTGCTGGCCCGGGCCCAGAGCCTCTCCTGAAATAAAGGGCCCTGCCTCCCGTGCTGCTGCCTTTACTCGTCCCTCCTTTCCCAGGACTGCTGGAGCTCCCTGAGCTCGGAGGTGGCTTTGGTTTGGCTCTGCGGAGGGGCTGGAGCTCGCTGTCCCCGCGGCAGCCCCAGACCCTCTCCCCTGTCCCGGCTGCTCCCGGGGGCTGCGGGCACCAGAGCGGGGCAGGGGCTGCAGAGGTGATCCCGAGGAGCTGCTGGAGCAGGGCCCTGGAGCAGGGACCTGGAGCTGGAGCAGGAGCTGGAGCAGGAGCAGGGAGCTGGAGCAGGGAGCTGGAGCAGGGCCCTGGAGCAGGGACCTGGAGCTGGAGCAGGGAGCTGGAGCAGGGAGCTGGAGCAGGGAGCTGGAGCAGGGAGCTGGAGCAGGGAGCTGGAGCTGGGATCTGGAGCAGGGAGCTGGAGCTGGAGCAGGGAGCAGGAGCAGGAGCAGGAGCAGGGATCTGGAGCTGGAGCAGGAGCAGGGAGCTGGAGCAGGAGCAGGAGCTGGAGCAGGGAGCTGGAGCAGGAGCTGGAGCAGGGACCTGGAGCAGGAGCAGGGATCGGGGCGGTGAGGCTGCAGACCCAGCCTGAGCCTGGCTATGGGGCTGATTTAGAACTCGGCTTCCCCTCCTGTGGGCACTGTGACTCTGCTGGAGAGAAGCTCTTGGGAGAAAACTCAGTCTGATCAAATGGAATTGGATTTATTCAAGGACTCAGTTCTGATCCCAGCTGTTTGGGTTATGCTGGTGTTGTAGGTTTGAGATGCCAAACCAGTCTGTGCTGGGGCTGGCACTGGTGTGACTGGGAGCAGAGACTGACGGCAGGGAACAGCCTGGTGGTGACAACAAACCTCCAGCTACAGACAGTCTTTTAAAGAAATAATTCATAACTCTCCAGTCACACAAAGCTGAAAGCCCCAGCGAGTTTCTCTGTGCAGCATCAAGTCCTTTAAAACCTCAATCCAACTTTTCCTGTGGGACAGAGCCCAGCTCTGATGGGGACAAGAGACAGAATCCAGCCCTGGCCTGTCCCGAAATAAGAGAAACATTTTTCCTTTTCCAAAGGTAAACCCTGCTGCTGTTCTCTGGAACAAGTAAGACCACAAACAGGATGGTACAAGAGCATAAATTCATATATAATTGTACATCATTTATACCCAAGGCCACGCTGTACAACATTATGAACAGTCATTCCCCAGTGGCATCACAATAAGCTTATTCCAAAATCCCTCAGCTACTTTTAGAGATAACTTAAGATACCTTCCATTACAAAGAAGTATCAAAATTTCAATAATGCTTTATTAAGGACAGATTAATATGCAGTATTTAAAAAAAAAAAAAAAAAAAAAGCTAAAAAGCTAAAACTAAAAATTTAAGCTTCCATCTGGTCTGAAGCAGAACAAAGTGCTGTCTTCTCTTTACAAGAAATGTGGAATACTTTCAAGTATCTTGGTCAAAGATACACAATGTTTAAAATCTTCTAGCTCATTCTACATACATACAGAGGAGTTAGTAGGCATTTAAGTCTCAAATTGTATTAGATGGGCTGTCCTGGTCAGCAGCTCTCGTGCCACTGGATTCTGAAGCTGTAGAACCTGCAAAGGAGAGAATGTGTTGGGTTTGTTTTTATAAATATCCTCATTAATCCAGTAGAATTTGACTGCTTTATGTTTTATCTGTGTTAGCTTCCTGCATCTGTTGTGAGTCTCCTTTTCAACACTATTTAAAAACTGGTTTTAATACTGGCTTTGTATTTAATATCACCAATCCAGAATAAAATAATAAAAAAAAAAAAAATCACTTTTCAACCATAAAAAGGATTTTCATAATCTTTTCAGTGCTTTGGAGTCAGGCAGAGCCAAACAAACGGAGCTGCATGTGTGCCAGCAGAGCCTGAGGGAGGGAAGCTGCTCAGTGGCACCCTCAGAACAAGAGGTGACAAAGCTGGGGCGAGGTTTTCAGCTCACAGCCTGGTAATCAGCAAAAGCAGCTTAAGATTAAAGCCAGGCTTCATGTCAAGCAGTCCCACTGTCTGCTCTGGGAGGTGAGAGGAGCTCAGAGAGGAAGGAGAGCCCAGATAATGCCTGGAACGGGTCAAACACTACAGAATTTCTGTGCTGGAGTCCTTATCTGCCAGAGGAGCTGCCCAACACAAACCCACTTTGCTCAGAGCTGCATTGTGAGCAGGAAGAAAGAGCCCAGAGCTTTGGGAAGCGCAGCACGTGCCTGCAGGCAGCTCATTGATCTGGGTGAGCACGTCCAGAAGCTCTGGGAGATGAAAGGAGCTGCTCCACATCCCGGTCCCAGCACGGCCGCCGCAGCAGAGGGGCTTTGAAGCCGTTTCCAGGGGATAACTGGGACACAAACACAGCTCAGACTCTGGAGCACAGCAGCAGCCAGGCTGCTCCCCCAGGTTATCCCCTTCACACCGCCTGCAGCTCCGAGGAGGCACCAGAGGGGTGAAAAGCCAGACCTGGCAGCTCTGAAGGGCTCTGCACGCCCCTGAGAGCAGAGATATTTACAGTGATTCACCGCTGCAGCTCACTTGTGCTCCCAGAAACGGGCAGGGAACGCTGGCAGCCACGGGCTGCTCACGGGGCTGCGTGCCACTGAGGCGATGGGAGGGCAGAGAAGGCAAGAGCAGCTCAGAGGAGCCCAGAAATAGCAAAGCAGCATCTTTAAAAAAGCCCAAAAAGCAGGAGTTTCTAGAATAAAGTATCTGTAGAAAGAAAAGCTCGAGGAATGGTGAGGAAGGGGCAGAAAGCCCCAAGCTCAGCCCACGCAGTTGCTGCTCCTTGGGGGAGTGTCTGCCAAGAGCCTGGCGCCCACTTCCCACCTTTTGCTGGCTGTACATCCACAATCATGCAGTCGTCATCTTCCTCGTCTTCCTCCGTGTCTGCCTGAAAGCCGTCCATCTCTGCAGCCTTGAGGGAGAGAACAGGCACCAGCTGTGAGTCTGGAGGGTGCTGGGCAGTTTGGGCACGTCTGGGGGCAGGGAAAGCTGTGACTCCCAGCCCCAGGAGCCCCTGGCTCGTGCCACAAGGCCTCATCTGCAGTGCACAGGCGGTGGGAAAGAGGCCAAGCTCCTGCTCCAGGATCCCTCCCTGTTACACAACGTGCTCAGCACCCCCGCAGCTTCAGGGAAATCTGACTCTTGCTGCAATTGTGGAAGGAACTCTCTCCCCTCTCTGTTAATTAATTTCACAGAATCACAGGCTCGTAAAGCTCAGCGAGCCCAAGCGACCCCAGCAGTGCCCAGGCCAGCACTGGCCGTGTCCCCAAGTGCCACATCCCTGCAGGGAGGGGACTCCACCCTGCCCTGGGCTGTCCTTTGGGTGAAGAAATGTTCCCTCAGTCTCCAAGCCAGACCCGCTCTGGTGCAATGTGAGGCTGTTCCCTCTTGTCCTGGTGTCCCCTCCTGCCAGGGAGTTCTGCACAGCCCCAAATTCCCCCTGAGCCTCCTCTGACCCCTCTGGATGCTCTCTCCCTCCTCAGGATGGAGAATTACTGTTGTCTGTCAAGTTTGGGCCTTGTTCTCTCCTGTCTCCTCCTCATCTTTGCCAATCAGTTTTTATTCAGGGACTGGTGGCAGTTCTTCCTGCCACGGGAAAAGCCCAAATTCCCTATTTTGAATTGAGAGCACAGAACACAATTTGTGACACAGCCTGAAGTTGCCCAGCTGTGAGGGTCTGTTGAGTTGTTTGTTTTCCCTTCAGCTGGACCTGGAATGAAAATCCCAGTCCCCATCTCCTAAAAACTGTTCCAAGCCAAGAGATTTTCAGTTTACATCTCAATAAAGTCCCAGTTCTCAGATGAAATCCCTCCCACACGTGGGCAGGTGCTGCCCACTTGAGCACCACGTTTTTCTCTCCACAGCTTATGTAAGAGCACCTTTACTCACACAAGCCCTGGTGTGAGGCTCCAGCAGAGGAACACGAGTGGGAACGTGGCAGCTGTGCCCTCCCAGCCGCTCCCCACGCTCCAGCCTGGCTCCACAGCTCGGCTGGGAGCTCAGCACCTGAGCAGGGCTGATTGAGCCAGCAGGAATGAAAAGCTGCTGGGGCTGTGACACCTCTGCTCGGAGCTGCACCTCCCCAGCACAGCTCTGAGAGGCTTTGAAGCATTCAGGCTGGTGATGTAATTCTCCTAAAAGTCTTTGTTTTGCTATTTCTGCTCCCTTATAAGCTGAATTTCCAGTGGGTGCCAAGCAGAGACTTTTATCTCTGCCTTTATTTAGTGTACAAGAAAAAACCCAAGCAGATGGAGTTTGGGGGCTGAACAGCTTCTCACAAGTCTCTGATCTCTATCAATACCTGAATGCTGAGCTTTTTCAGTAGAAAAGCCAAAAAAGCCAAGAATAAATTGGGAAGGCAAAGCATAAAAAGCATCAAAAGCCTCATCTGTGGTCTATGGGAGGGGGTGGAACGAGATGAGCTTTGAGGTCCCTCCCAACCCAAACCATTCTGGGGCTCTTTCTGAACCTGGTGCTCAGGGAAGGAGGAATAAATCCACTGGCAGGGATTTCAAACCCTGATAACCCCAAAGTTCCAGCACCTAAAGCCTCAACTGAGCACCCCGAGCTTTGTGGGTGCCTGAAGGGGCCAAGAGGAGACACAGAGAGAGACTGGGGACCAGGATGGAGGGACAAGGACACAGGGAATGGCTCCCAGTGCCAGGCTGGATGGGATATGGGGAGGAATTCCTCCCTGTGAGGGAGGTGAGGGGCTGGGCTGGAATTCCCAGAGGAGCTGTGGCTGCCCCTGGATCCCTGGGAGTGCCCAAGGCCAGGCTGGAGCAGCCTGGGACAGCGGGAGGCGTCCCTGCCCGTTCTGGAATTCCATGATCCCATTTTCCAGTCATGATTAGGCTCCAGCACTACCTGTGGTTGCCCTGAAAAGCAGAAGCAACAACAGGAAAACCACAACACAGCTCCCAAGCAGCAACCACTGCAATTCCATCTCATTTTGTCCCTGTGAGTTATTGCATTTTTAAACCAGCTCTTGAAACTCAGCTTTATGTGTGTCAGGATGAGCTGGAGCCTTTACAGACTGCTCTGGGCTGAGCTGCAGCACTTGGGAACCACATTTAATCCGTTCACATGCAACTGCTGTAAGTCATCAGCTCGGGCTGTACATCTGGCAGCCACAGGCACACATAAAACCTGCACACAAATTACACACAGCTGTAAAACCAAGGCCAAGCAGACTCTCAAACTATTCACAGCTTGGATGCAATCACTGCCAAATAGCAGAGAATGGAAGAGCAGCAGGAGAGCAACGTTTCAAATGGAACAGAGAGTCCAAGCTGCAGGGACACAAAAGAAACCCATCTCTTTAGTCCCATCATTTCGCTTCTTTCCCCATAAAAAATGGCCCTGTGGTGTTGCAGGCCGGGCCTGTGGCTACCAGGCCGAGCTGGGGGGGCAGCCCAGGGTGCCAACACCCCCAGCCATGGGGCACGCTCACCCTGCCAGAACTCACCTGCTCAGCATCCCGAGGTCTCTTCATGAACTTGGTGATGGACATGCTCGCCATGGCCTTCCTCTTGGCTGCGGGGGGCGTGTGCTGCGGGGCGGGCACGGCGGGCACGGCGCTGCCCTCGTCCCTGCCCGCGCAGGGCACCTGCGTGACGTAGCTCCAGCGGCACGGCACGGGGAGCCGCTCGTGCCCGAAGCTGCGCAGCACCTCGGCGTGCACGTACCAGCACATCCTGAACTCGGGCCTCTTCTCGTACACCGAGTTCTCCGAGATGATCCTCTTCAGCCTGGCCTTGGAGGGGACCCCGCCGTCCTCCCCGGCCGGGGGCTGCGCCGGCGGGGGGCTCCCGTCGCCGCCCTCGGCCACGTCGCTGAAGCGTCCCTGGCGGCAGCACTCCTGGAACTCCTGGATGATCACCTTGCTCCCGTGCACGTTCCCGTGCAGCAGCGGCAGGAGGTGGCCGAGGACTGCGGGCGGCAGGGAAAGGGTTAAAGGGGGAAAACAGCAGGGGTGATTTCAGAGCTGGGGCTGCCCCGGCCCTGGAAGGCTCCAAGGCCAGGCTGGAGGGGGACTGCAGCAAGTGAAGGGGTCCCTGCCCATGGCAGAAACTGGATGGGCTTTAAGGTCCCTCCCAGCCCAAACCACTCTGGGATTCCACGATTGTAACAGCAGCTGAATTTGATGTACAAAACTCACTCTCGATAATAACAACACCCTGGAGTGAAATCCTCGCCCCCTGTTTGGCCTTCGTGTGAGTTATTCACGTCCTTGTGAGCAGGAAAAGCCCAGGACAGGAACCCAGCACAGAAACCAAACCCTCTCCCCCAGACAATAAACAGGCTCGAGCCCATCCTAAATCAGAGCCTGCTCAAGTCTGGTTGGTTTTATTTCCTAGATTGCCCAGAGCAAGACTTTTTGGAGAGGCACTGCCAGAAAACTCCTTTCCAAGAGCTCTCAGAGATTCCTGGGATTCCAGACTTGTCAGAAACATTGTGAATTCAACACTCAGTAATCCCCCTACTCCCTGCAAAGCAGAGTACAACAGTCTGCAAGTACTCTTCAGCCCTTCAGCTCTTACTTTGCTGATCTTTTGCCCTTTTCTTGCTACATTTCTGTGTCTGCTGCTCTTCCTCTGGCACAGGTGGATCCAGGACACAGGCTGTGAACTGCTGGAGCACCTTCAGGTCCGTGTTGGTGCTGTTGTCGTCTGCTGCCCTTTCCCAGACGCAGCCGATCTTCACGGGCTGCAGGACGTGGAACCTCTTCCCCTTGGCTATCAGCTCATCCCATTCCTTGGCTTTCAGTTTCTGACGAACCTTCTGGTTCTCAGGGTCACACTCCTGCAGCCACAGGGGACAAAGGACTCATTGCACCCACGCCAGTTAAAAACACAAAAGAGCTTTTTAAACCCAGCTTTTCCTCGTGTTCCCCGAGCCACACAGGGCTCCTGAAGCGTGCAGGCCTGAGGGAGCCCAGCGCTGTGTGCTCCCCTCCCCTGCCAATATTGACATTCCACACTTCACTGGAACTCAGGGACACCCTCACCTCTGTCACACCTTCATCTTCAGATAGGTACCCATGGGGTACAAAAAACCCATCGTCCTCGTCTTCATCCTCTCCCTCCTCTTCATCATCCTGCACATAAACGGATTACAGGTTACACTGCTGAGTGCAAATGGTTCCCAACTGTTTCAGCATGCAGGATCCTCACCTCTTCACTATGGGAGAGACTTTCCCCAGGCTCCTCCTCTTCCCACTCTTCATCACTGTCTACTTCATAGTCCAGCAGTTTCTGCAAGAGATGCCAAGAAACGTCTGTCCCTCGCTGGAGAGCACAGCACCAAACCCAGCCTGGGGTTTCAGAGCTGAGGAAACAAAGCGCCTCAGCAATCCCAGGCAGGCAGAGGACTTGGCCAAGCACATTCACTCCCAGAGCACAAAGAGGGGGAGAACGCAGCAGCCGAGGTGCTTACGGTGTCCTTGGACCACGGATTCCTGGCACGGATCAGGGCGGTTCTCTTGTTCCAGGTGCCCCAGTAGGCAGGGCGGTGATTCTCACTGAACTGCAGAAGCTTCATCCTGCCAAACTTCTCCCTCTCAGGAACAGCGTCTGCCTGGCAGCTGTCCACCACCACCACGTCACTGCCAACACAGTGAAGGTGGCTCAGGCCCCGGAGAACAGCTCCAGCCTTCCCTCCTCTCCAGTGTCCATCACTCCCTCAAACCCTCTTCAGTTTGTTTTATCAAACAGAAGCCGAGCCCCCAAGCGCAGACTGACCTGTTCACACTGTCATTGCTGTCACTGACCAAAGTGGGCCCAGTTTTTCGTGGTTTACGACATTTTAGCTCCCTCAAGAAGGAACTGTCGCCGTTCTGGGCACGCAGGAGCTTATCCAGCTGTTCCAGGTAGTCTGGATCCAGGGAAACACGGCTGAGCGGGGCTAAGACCATGTTCTCCTTAATTTCAAAAGGAGCAAACTTCCCACAGGAGCCAGCAAGGGTCTGAAACATCAAGTGAGCAATGTCAGGGCTTGGACAGCGAGAAGCTGCAGCACCAACAATGCAGGAAACACCTGCTGCTGAGGTGTGGTCTGAGATTTGGGTTAAGTGAAGATTTAGGTTAAACCCCTCCTGTCCAAGACTCCAGCAGGTCTTCCAGGCAATGCAGAAGACAGAGCTGAGATTCGCTAAACCAACCACAAATGTCTCCTGCAGTCTCTGCTCTGGCCTTTTTCTTAAAATCCTTTACGCTTTTGAGAGCAGGAAATTAAGAAAAAACAATGTTTTGACCACCTAAGAAGCTGTAAGGGGCAGCTGAGAAGGAAATGAGGGCATTTGTTAGGAACAACTGTGAGAGACCAGCAATCCCTCACCTTGGGGGCTTGTGGAGTCTTTGGTTTCTGGAAGAACCTGGTGATCTCTGCTTTCTGTGCATTGATGCGCTGAAATGAGAACCCAAATGTCAACAGAGAGACAGAAGAAAGCTCTGGAATTCAAGGTGAGCTCAGGCATGACTCAGCTTCAAAGCAAAGTTCAGGCAGTCACCAGCTCCTGTGACTCAACAGGAACACTCCTTGTGCCCCCTGACACAAGCAGGGCTCCAGAGCCACTGCCAGGGCAGGGTTCACTTGTGGGCATTCAGAAGCACAAACAGAAATCGTTTGAGAGGGTGAAAGCAAAGGAACCAGCAGGAGTGAAAGCAACAGGTAAAAATCCGGAGCAGCAGCGCCAGCAGGTCACGGGGCTGCATCCCAAAAGGGATCTGCCCCATCCCAAAAGGGATCTGCCCCATCCCAAAAGGGATCTGTTCTACCCCAGCTGGCACCACCATCTCACCCCAGAAAGAATTCAGAGACAAGCCAGGGAAAGTATTTTTTTACCTTTTCTTCCTCCTTTAACCGTTTCTCCTCTTCTTTCTTTCTCTTCTCCTCAAGTTTTGCCCTTGAAAACAAAGTTCATGTGGATTGTCACCCTCCAGGAAGGGTTTATTTGCACTGAGGAAGAGCTGGGAAGCCCCAGACCCCACCACGAGGATCATCTGTCAGTCCAGCCAAGAACCACCCTGGTTAAGTGTAGAGGAGGCTTTGTTCATTCGCTCTAGAGCAAATATTGACCCATTTTAGCGCCAAAGTTAACAGGCTGCCTCGAGTTTCCCTCCAGACCGGGAAATTTCAATTACCAAGTCACGGGTGACTGCAACAAACAGGCCCAGAGCCTGCCAGGAGGGGCAGCAGGACAGCAGAGGCACTGTGGGACAGGGACACAGAGCCCCTCGAGCATTCCAGAGCCAGCCCTGAGCCCAGGCCCGTGCTGCTGGAGCAGGGCAGCCTCTGGGACAGGGAGAGGTGGGGATGGGAAGAGCACAGGGTCCCCAGGAGCCCAGGCACTCACTCCAAGGCCTCCTGCCTCTCCTTGCGCTTCTCCTCCTTCACTCGCAGCTTCTCAGCTTTCTCCTTCTCTTCCTTTTCTTTCTTTTCCCTCCTTTCTCTCTCTTTCAACTCCTTCTCTTCCTCTTTCCTCTTCTTTGCCTCCTCCTTGGCTCGTTCTTTCGCAGCTTTTGCCTCTTCCTTCAGCCTCCCCTTCTCCTCCCTCTCTGCCTGCAGCTTCTGGAGCTTGTCTGCGCGCTCCTGATCCTGGGGCACAAACGGGACACTCAGGGAACTGCGCCTTCGTGGCACCAAAATCAGCATCCCACCTCTGCAAGAGGAGCCTGGACCCACCCAGAGCTCGACCTGCAGCATCACAAAATATCCTGCAATGGGAGGGACCCTCATCCTTCCCGGGAAAGCAGCTGGGAGCACATCCACGGCTCCCTGGTGCCAGCTGAGCTGCCTCGTGCTGCCTCCCAGAAAGCTTTAATTATTCTTTTCCCTTTTGCAAAAAAAAAAAAAAAAAAAAGGTGTTTCCATTTCTCCAAGCAACAAAGAAAGCTTTGTATTGAGTCATCTTCATTGCCACTGTAGCATTATGGAAAATTAGATGGGAATTAAAAAATCGTAATTATTCCCTTATTTAATAGGAGATTTCAGATTCTTTCCAAAATATTTCCTCCTGAGCTAAGCTTTCATGCTGTGGTGTCATCACAGGGCTACAGTGGTGTCACTTCTGCAGCTGAACTGGAGCTGATTTGACATCATAAACCCCCTGTCACAGAAATCAGACCTGGATGATCCCCAGGGTCCCTCCCAAGCTGGGACATTCCGTGATCCCTGGGGATAACCGGAGTCTCCAAACTCCTCATCCCTCCTCTCCGTCCATTTCAGACACCACCACTGCCCTGAGCTTGTTCAAGGGGCGCTCTGGGAACAGTGGGGGGAAGATTTATTGCAAGTGTTGCCTTTTGTGGTGTTTCCTCCCAAAACAACTGCAATTCCCACCGTGGCTCTGCTGACACACAGGAGGAAAATGTCAAATTAAAGAAAAAGAGCTTTTCTGCGCTGCAGGCGCTGCTGATGTCACCAGGAAAGGAGGCTCTGCCTGTGCCCAGACACTCCAACTCCTCCCTGGGTATTTTCAGTTTTCTTTTATTGATTTCACATCTCTCCTTGTCAACATCAAGGCTCCCTGAGCAGTGTCACAACACAAATAACTGCAGAAAGCCACCAACAGCCAAGTGGTGCCAATGGCAAGGAAACAACACTGTCAGCCTGAGTCATGGAATGTGCTGGGTGCTGGTGTGAAGCTGACAGCTCACTGGTGGCTCTAGTTCACTCTCAGCATCATTTTTAGCTTCCATTCTCCTCTCTCCCTCACATCCCCGCTATTTTTAACAGAGCTATAGAAGGGAAGAAAACAACAGATTGGAATTCTATATGGGGCACTGGGAAAAAGCAAGAAGCTTTACAGCTACAACTTACATAAAACACACAAGTTTATAAACAAGCCACTGAGAGACGCACGGTTCCTGAGCACAAACCTTCCCAGGTGCAGGAAAAACAACCCCAAAAAAGTCCATTTCACTGCTGGAAACCCCAGAGACCCTTCAGCCTCCTCTATATCCAGCATTCCATGGCTGGCAGCAGAATCAGGGAGCAGAGTAAGGAGCTGCAGCCAAGCACACAGAACCTGGAGCTTGAGCATTCCCAGTGGTGGCATCCAGTGGTGACATTCTCTGGGAAGCCTCAGACTCGCTTCCCCCACTCTTAAATAAAAGTGTATTTATTAATACACTCTCCTGGTGTATTAATAAAAACAGAACCTGCAATTTGGGGCTTAAACGTTTCCAATCTCTTCCCCAAGAGCCCCAACTGCAGCCACAGCTCCGTTCAGGAGCTTTGGAAAGAGCCAAGCACCTTGACTGCCTGCATTAAAGGTTCTTCCACACTCCTCAGGGTGAGGAAAAACGGCAAGAGAGATGTTCCAGCTGGGCTGAGACAAAAGGCTGCTCAGGGGAGGTGTCAGGGAAATGCCTTACTCTTTGCAATCTCAGCTTCTCCTTCTCTGCTGAACTTCTGTGGAATTTCTGAGGTACCTGCAATTACAAAATCAAGTTTTAGAGGAGATCCTGCTCCTCCCTCTCCAGCCTGAGCCACAGCAGGCTGCTCCTGCAGATCACATCCAGCCACTCCAAATCCCCCCAGAGCAGGGGATGAGGACACAGCTCGGGCACGTCCCATCTCCCCCCTCCCACCCCAGCCTGGATCCATCCCAGAAATCCTCACCTTACCCTGCCTGCATCAACAAACCCCTCTGGTGCCCTCAGCCCCACAGGAACATTTTGGGAACGTCACCTGCACAGCACCCAGGGGAGCTGCTCTCAACCAAAGTCAGTTTGGGTTTCTTTGGGGCTTTTTTTGCATCCACCTGTCTTGCTGTGACATTTAGCTGGAACTTCGTGAGTGCAAGGACTGTTTTCCACATTTTAACACTGTTTCTTCTTGCCATCACAGTCCACTTGATCTTCCACCAGTAACAGCCCACTGACCCTAAATTCCAAACAGGGCACACTTCCCATTTAGCTTTTATTTATGGGGAGAAGAAAAAGGGGTTTTATGCTTAAGATTATTGTTGATAGACTGGTTAAAGGCCTAATTTATCAATCTTTCAGCACACTGTGACTTGATTTACTGGATCCCCCCCTCCTCCTCCTCCTCCTGCCATTCACAGCATCACATTTAAACTGTGATTAACGGGCTAACACAGCCCAACTGCTTTATTTGCTATATTTATCTGATATAAAACAGGAGTTCTGCCAATGTGGAAGCTTCAGCTCCTCAGAGCTGTTTCCTCCCAGGAAAACAAACCTGCCAGGACTCGCAGCTGCACAGCTTGGGGTGCAGACCCTCGTTTTGGGGAGCAGCACACGCACAAATCCAGCCCCACTGGCGCTATTGGATTACACCAGGAGTGCTTTCTGTTGTTCTGCTACGCTGCAAATGCTTCATGCCTGCTTGAGTGTGTCTGTTTATCTTAGAGGTGGAAGACTGGGAGCTTTCACAGAGGAGGAATTGATCATTTGACTTGATAAACACAACAAAAGGACTGGGAGAACCATGCCCGTGGTGTTCCAGCCACCTGAGCAGGTGCTGCTGCCCTTGGAAGCTTCCCTGTCAAAACTGCCTCAAAAATCAGGGTGTTTGGGGGTGTTCTGCTGGAGCAGAGCTGCTAAACTGAAACTCAGGTGACCAAAAAGCCCCTCACTGAGAGCTTTTTCACAGAATCCCAGAATGCTTGGGGTTGGGAGGGACCTTAAAGCCCATCCAGTGCCACATTCCACTGTCCCAGGCTGCTCCAACCCCCACCAGCCTGGCCTTGGGCACCTCCAAAGCAGCCCCAGCTCCTCTGGGAAACCTGTGCCAGAGCTTTTCCATGGCAGCTGCAGGAATTGAGAGCTGGAAAAGCGTCTGCACTGGTGGTACTGGGGGAACATCCTCACAGGAACCACAGCAGCTTCCAGGAGGATGAACTGAGCTTGGGAAACAGCAACTGGAGCACAGACTGCTCTTGGATGCTGTTACCTAAACACCAAGTCCCAAGTGGGCATTTCATTAAAGAAATGCAAACACAGCAGCAGCCAGACCAGGGAAGATCAAATCCTTTAGCTGTAGGACTTAAAAGATTCCAAAGGGCAATAACTCAGTAATTAACCACCACCACCTTCCCTACACTCCTCGTTGCCCCACTCATCCTGTTCCCCACGATCCCAGGAACCCAAACACTGCAGCACAGCAGCTTCCACCCCAGAGCAGAGCGGACCAACCTTCCTGGCAGGCGTGGAGGCAGCCAAAGGACTCGAGCTCCTCTTGGCCTCTGCCATGAGCTGCACGTCGGGCGAGCTCCCGGAGCTCAGCGAGGAGTTGCTCAGTCCCGAGTCTCCCTCGTGGGACGACTCCAGGGCCTCGTTCTCCGAGCCTGTGCCGCTGCTGTCCAGAGACACCACCTGGGGGGATTTCAGGCTCATGATGTCCTCCAGCAGCACCACGGGCACCTTCCCCTCAAAGAGCACATCCTTCAGTTCGCCCTGGGTCCCCTTCCTGCCTGCCACCGCCCTGGAGCGCGGCTGGATCCCAGCTCCCGGATCCTGCTCTGCCTTGGCTGCGGCTGCACAGGGCCCCTCAGTCTCTGTGGAGTCACCTGCTGGGCTGCTCTGTGAGGAATTCAGGCAGCTCAGCTGGGTCAGCTCTTTTCCTATCGTGGTGCCGCTGGTTACGGCAGCTCTGGAATCCACATCCCCCTCGAGTCCGTGGCCAGAGCCCTTGGAGAGGTCAGGATCATCCCCAGGGTCACTCGTGTCACCTCCTGGGTTCTTCTGGATAAAATGGCCCTTGGAGAGGTCAGGATCGTCCCCAGGGTCACTCGTGTCACCTCCTGGGTTTTTCTGGATAAAATGGTCCAACGGACCCTTCCCGTTCACAAGTTTTGGAGTCAGATTCCCGTCGGAGCCCAGCTGGCAGTCGTTCTCCACATTGTCCAGGGAGCCACCCGAGGCATCCAGGGAGGGATCCTTGCTCGGAACAAAAGCACTTGGGGAGCTCTTGACTTTTTTCACTTCTGAATCCAGATCGAGTTTTTCCTTTGGCACAGGATTGAGGCGCTTGAAGGGCAGCCGAGCTGCAACAACAACACCAGGTTACTCAGTGACAGGAAACATCAAAGGATTTCATTCATTTTGAAGCATAAAATTGAGAAGAGCCACTTAGAGGTGGTTTAATCACAGCAGAGCCAATGTATTTCACAAAACCAGGTCTGAACTGCTGTTAATGTGTTAAAACTGAGCTGGGTGAGAGACATTCCCTTACCTTGGACGAGCTTCCGTGGAGGAACAGCAGCTTTGTCTCTGCACTCCATGGCTACGGAAGAAAACAGCAAATCAACACCCGTGGTTGTTCCCAAGGAGCCCAGCAGCTCTCCCAGGGCCGCTGAGGGAGGACAGAGGGGCCCCCCTGACCCCCCCAAGCCAAAGGAACCCCGAGCCGGCGGGTCCCGGCAGCCACAGTGTCCCCCTCGCTGGGCTGGCCGGGAATGTCCCCAGGAGGCTGGGCCTGCACCCAGCGAGGTGTGAGGGGGAATTTCCCGGCTGGGAGGGGGGCAGGCCGTGGCACAGGTGCCCGGAGCAGCGGCGGCTGTCCCCGGCTCCCTGACAGTGCGCAAGGCCGGGCCGGGCCGGAGCCCTCAGGGTGTCCGTACCCGTGACACGGCTGGAATGGGGTGCGATTTCAGATCCTTCCCCACCCAAACCGGTCTGTGACTCCGCGAGTGAGGCCGCAGGACAGGCCCGGGCCCAGTCCCGGGGCGCGGCGGCAGCTCCGGCGCCTCCTTTGTTACCCCGGGCGGGCCCCGCGCACCCCGCGGCCCAACCGCCGCCGGAAACACCTCGCGCCCCGGCCGGGCCGCACCGCACCCCCAGCTCGGCCCTACCTGTGGCGACGGCCGGCGCGGCTGGCGGCGGTGCCGGGCGGCGGCGGCCGAACCGAGGCGGCCCGGCCCGCGCAGCCCCCGCCGCTCCCGGGCCCGGTCCCGCCCGGCCCGTCCCGCTCGTACTTGGCGGGAGCCGGGGCGACCCCGCGTCGCGCGGCGCTGATTGGCGGAGCGCTCCCCACGTGACCCGCCCAGCCACACTCCCCGCTGCGTCTCGCCTGCCGACTGGCTGCCGCGGCGGGCGCCTCTGATTGGCGGAGGCGGCTGTCGGTCTGGCGCGCTGCGAGCGCTGATTGGGTGGCTTTGTAGCGGGCCGGCGGGGCGCCGCTGGGTTCTTGCGCCTGGGCCCGAGGTCTACCCGTTCACCGGGCGGGAACGGGGCCGCAGCGGGCCGGTCCCGGGACCGGCCTGTCCGCAGCACCGGGCGGAGGGGGCGGAGCCAGTCCTGCCGCGCGCCGCGTCGCTACGGGCCTTGAGCCAACGCGCGAAATGGCGGCGGCGCAGGCGGCCAATTAGCGCCCGCCGCTGCGAGGCGCAGGCGCTGTCGCGAGGGACACTGGGAGTCGTAGTTTTCCATTGGAGCGTCTGTCATCCCATCTTCCCCCCAGGACTATGGCGGGGGTCCCGGCCCGGTTGTCCCCGTGTCGCACACGCGGTCCGCTCCCTGCGGGCGGTGCTGGATCCCTCAGGAAAAAGCCGGCTGCGCCACAGTCAGCTCCCAACAGGCCCGCCTGTCGCGACACAGCGACTCGCTCCGTCGCTCCGCGGCGGTTCCTCCGGGCCGGCAGGGGGCGCGCTGGCTCCGCGGGGCGCTCCGGCCGGGCCGCTCGGTGGTGGCGGCCGGGGGCGGGGCCGGGCGGCGGCGGAAGCGGCGGCGGGGACGGGCCGGGCTGGGACGGGCGGAGCGTCCTGAGGCTCCCGAGGCTCCCGCCGCCCCCGCAGCAGCTCCCGCCGCCCGCAGACCGGGCCCCCGCCGCCACCGGGGCAGGCACCGGCACCGGCACCATGTCGGTGGCGGGGCTGAAGAAGCAGTTCTACAAAGCGAGCCAGGTGAGACACCGGCACCCCGCGCCCGTTCCCGCCGCCGTTGGGCTCCGGGGAGGCCGCTCTTCCCTTACCGGTTCGGAGAAGCCGTCAG